GACGATGACAACATGAGGTGAGTTGGAGAAAACTGGCACATTTGTTGGTGCTGGGAAGTCCATCCTGAACTTGGTCAGAGCCAGTTGCCATCAGCTGTTCTCAAGCACGAAATCCATGCCCTGGGTGCTGCGTTTTTGACAGACTCGTTGGCAGATGAAAGGCAGGGAAATGATAGCCATGGGCCTGGGAGGAGTGTTAGGACAGGTGGCTGTCATTCTGGGTAAGAAGTACAGAATTGGGGAGCTAGAATTTGGGCGGGGGCCTCAGCTATGGCAAGGAGAGGATAAACCCAAAGACCAAACTCACTGCCGTCGAGTGGATGCCAACTCACAGCGGCCCCGTAGGACAAGGCAGAATCTCCCCCTGTGGGTCCCCGGACAGTCCCTCTTCACACGCGAGTAGACGCCTCGTGGAACAGCTGGTTGTTTCCAGCAGCCGATCTTGGGAGTAGCAGCCCATTCTGAAGCCACCGTCCCACTCGGGCTCCTAAGGAACCTGATTCTCCTCCTTCTAGAGCAGTGGTTCTCAACCTTCCTAAGGCCGCGATCCATGTTGTGGTGACACCCTCCCCACCCACCCCCACCCCCACAACCATAAGATTATTTTCCTTGCTACTTCATCACTGTCATTTTGCTACTGTTGTGAATCGTAATGTAAATATCTGCTATGCAGGATGTATTTTCATTGTTACAAATTGAACATAATTAAACATAATTAAAGCATAGTGATTCATCCCAAAACAATGTTATTATAGTGAAATATTTACGTGTTTTCCTATAGTCTTAGGCGACCCCTGTGAAAGGGTCGTGACCTATAGGTTGAGAACAGCTGTTCTAGAGAGAAATGAGTATCGGGTCATGCTTTTGAGATCTAGATGCCTTACCCTGTAGTTGCTTCCTGTAGAATGTCTCCCCAGGTATCCACCCCCACCCAGTATGGTTGTCCACTCAGCACCTCCGTGTAGAGTACGCTTGGTTCTTCTCCCTGCCTCTCCCCCTGCTGTTGAATCCATTGTGCTGCTCCTGGATTTCTCCCACTTCCAGGTGAGCTCCCCTCCAGGAGATCCGTGCCTCAGGCCCTGCTGTATTTCCAGTGCGCTTCCTGCACACATTGGTTTGTTTTCCGAGCCGAGCCTCCAGATAGATATACACACAGTGGGATGGCCATCACAGATGTCCAGAGGGTCGGTGCCGTGGAGCGAAAGGACAGCGTCGTGATTGGGAGATCACACGCGGAGAGAATTGTAGGCGAAGTGATCGCTTTGAGGGGATAGTATAGGGGTGTAATTAGAGACTTGGGAAAGAGGCTTGAGGTCAGACTCAAAGGAAAAGCTAGCATTTATAACGCAGGAGGAAGAAATAGCAATAGCAAAACAGAAGTCATTATCAGGGAAGATAGAGCATCAGGTCTTCGATACAGTCATGAAACTTCTACTCATGTGCCTTGCACCTGTACATGCACACAGCGTGTACGTACACACAGAGGTGATAGTATCTGTGCTTCTCAGGTTGTACAAACCATTGTACTCAGATGCATGGGTCCTCTCCTGGAGGTGGCCTTGACCAGGCCCTTAGCTCTTCGTAAGGGATTGCTTTTAGAGCGGGGCAGGCAGACTGATGTGGGTTGAAGGCAGGGTGAGGAATATCCAGCCCGAAGACTGTAAGGCCCATGCAATCATCCACACCAGCTGACATCAACGCTCGCCAAACAAGCGATGCCAGCCGTCCCATCGGGAGGAGCTCATTAAAAGTGAGACCAAATACAGAAGGCTAACTTTTAAGTGGCTAGTTTTGTGTGGCCCGAGATTAATGTTCTAGATATGGAGATGGCCCTTGGCAGCAAAAAGGCGGCTGACCCCAGCTCTAAGGCTGTCGTCTGAGAAGTGTTGCCATGTCACACGACACTTGGCTGTATGCATCTTGGCACCTACTTGGAAGCCTTTTAATCGTTCAGCTTACCTATAGCCAGCAGAAGGAGCCCTGATGGCATAATGGATTCAGCAT